CTTTTAGCGCGATCAAGATATTTAAAACAAAAGTAACGCAAAGCCAACGTAACGGCAAAGACAACGCTAAAATGAAATATTGTCGATTGGTTGCTGGTAGAACACTTACCACAGGATCAATCTTAAATAACCTTAAACTATAAGAATAAATGTTCACATCAAAGACAAAGATCAGTCCCAAAGTATAAAACATGCTTTATAAACTTACGACGAAGTGGAGAAATGCGTGCATGAGCTGTTTATTTGGTGATTTCAACGTATATGGAAGCCCTCTTTCCAATAATATTCGCTTATCGCACAGTACAACACCAACTGATGTAATAGTTCAAATGCAATGATAAGTTATCTCTTGAATTACATCTCAAAAACTGCGTTGGGAATTTAAATGCTGATCCATTACATATAGATTACCGTCCTACATCGTTGTATAGAACACTTTGATCGCATGTAAGCAATTATTTCTTAGCCCAGAGACATAGCCCAAAGACTTAACATTGACGTCCTTGTAATTTTATAGAGATATATCCAGAACTAAGGATATTAGAAGGAATTATCTGTACCCTCTCACAGTTGTAGACAAGATATGTTGTTTACGTCCAACACGCATAAAATTACATAACTCAAAATGATTCGAGCAAAACCGGTCTTTTGTTAAAAGGAAGAATGGTTAATAGAAATTGGTCCTTTTGAGTGACATAATCGTGTATCGTCATCGATCCGTGTCGTTGAACAATGAAAAATTTGTCGTAAATTTTTTGAAGATAAAATAGCATTTTGTGAGAAAACTGCGGGTCTACGGAGTGGGAACTTTTCGGATTTGAACTCAGCGTGTTCCAAAGTGTTAGTTCCCGTAAAAATATTTCAGATCTAAGACATGCTTAATGAAATCGTTTTCTAGGCACTTTTCGAGGTCACAACACACGGACTATTGGTCCAAATGGCATATTCACTTTTGTGTCGTATTTCTTTCCAGAGAAAGAGACGCGCTGTCAGAAACATTAGCCAAGCACAAGTCTTTATTAGAACAATGCCAACAGCGTGAGTTCGAGGCTTATATGGAAGTCAAGAAAAGTGCTGAGACGGCAGAAAATGCGAAACTGGAAAAGGCAGAGGTGAGTGAAGCCCGCCTTATGACCATACAGTAAGACTCGAACCAAATATAAGACTACTATGTAGATAATGCTTTATTTGAATTATTTCCCCCACCATTGAAGATTGATTAAAGATTAATTGAAGATTGATTAAAGATTAATTGAAGATCGATTGAAGATTGATTGAAGATTAATTGAAGATTAATTGAAGATTAATTACGCGAAATAAGGACAATTTAAGGCCACCTAAAAGTGTCAACGAATAAGGAATTGGGGAAAGCAAAGACTCGCTTATCAGGCCATGCATAACAGACTGGGTCAACTTGGACATAAAGATAAAACTCTCTAATAATTTTCCTACATTTAGGAGAAATTTTTTTAGCAATCTTTGAACTTTCTCTTGTATAATCCCAAAATATTTTTCATAGTTATGTAGTATATGAAAGTCTTGTAAATTTGTTTATTTAGTTCAGGACCTTTCTGAAAATCACTTTATGAGAAAGCTTCCTGAAAATAAAATATTAATAAAAAAAGATTCCCGAATAAGCCCCGGGTTGGGCATTAAAACTATATACATTAATTACATTAAAACTGCACGATAAAATATTAAAACTAACCTGAAATTAAGGCATGTGTAATTTTACGTCGACTCTACTAGGCCATAATAAAGATCAAACAGTTAGAGAGCAATTTTGACGAGGAGAGAAAAAGACATGAAGCACTTAGTTCGTCCACAAATGAAAAATGGAAACGTGAATTTGACGAGGTGAAAGAAAAATTTGAGAAAGAAAAACAAATATTGCAAGTTAAGGTATTTACTGGCACCGACCACTCGAGATAGATCGTGTATTTCTTGTGATTGCATCTGGATAGTCCGTCTTTGCTGGTGCGGATGATGTGTCTTCTCTCAGGGTGCGATAATTCGCGTCCTTAGGGACCGAGTCTACTAAAATTTATTTATGTAAAGCACCGAAGAGAAAAGGGTTGGGTAAACTAAATTTTAAGTAAGTAGAAGGTTGGGTAAATGAAAAAGAAAACAACTAAAGGGTTGGGTTGTAAAAAATTATTGTCATTTCCAAAGCGTGACTCACTGAAATATTGGAGACTGAAAAGCAAAGTCAACAGTCATATATCAATACAATAAGTGAATCAATCAGAGTCACTATCTTGATCATTTTCCGATCTGTTGGGAGACAAATGGTGTCTCCAAAGAAAGTACATGTACATACAACATGAAACTTTAGTTATCAAACTTGTGTCACAGAAGTGGTAAAGGACATGTGTGACAACTGAATGGTATCGGTGTGTGAAGTTTTTGGCCACGGGTGAGTATTTATTTTTTAATTGATATTTGAGGTTGGGTAATCAAATATTTTAGCTTTTTAATGGTTGGGTCAGCAAAATTTTTGCCAGGAAAAACATTTCTCTTCGGTGCCACCCGCCGCCATGAATAATGACCGGTCCCTTACGTACCGGAGGTACGCCAATATTACAGTCTGGTACTTCTTTGTTTTCAGCCAAGTACCACGTAGGTACACGGTACTCGTGTTATCTGCGTACTTACTTTCTGTTGGTACCACATGACCTTTCCAAGCTCAATGTGTATTCAATACCGGAATTTAGTTGGTACATCATAGGCCGGTTGTTCAAAGCTGGATTAGCGCTAACCCTGGGTTAAAATTTAACTTGCTGTTTTAATTTCTATATTTCTGCACATCTGTTTGTTTCAAAACTTCAGACAAGACAACTCTCATTGGTCCAGACAAGATTTCTGAAGAAAAGTTTCCAAGTTTATAAACAAGGTGGTGGGAAGTTTGCTTTGAATTTTAGGTAAACCTAGGGTTAAGCTAACCGGCTTTTGAACAACTGGCCCCATGTGTCTGACATGTTTTGGCATGAAATTACCAGAGCCTGCCTCACAGGCTAGCATGAAATATGATTGGACTGATGGCACTAAAAAACGTTGGAGTCGATTGTTTGTATATGCAATTGTGCTTCTTTTTCTACCTCGTAGTCTGAACGTACCTTTCAGAAACCTGTGCTTTATGAACCTTAATGTAATGACTAAGTACATATTGAATACTGAGTTTGTGCAAGTACCTGGCAACAACCATTGGCGTACGAGTCAGGTACGACTAAAATCTTGAATTATCGCACCCTGCTTGTCTGATGACTCGTATTTATCAGGGATGGATTTACTGGGGGGGGGGGGGGGGGGGGGGGGG